GTTTCACGAAAATTCATTTCTACATATAAAGCCCTAATTAATCTATCTTCTTCTACAAACACAACTCCCAACACTCGCCGACCTCTCCACCGTAGCTGGCAACCCTAACCCCAATCGTCCCCGCCCAAAAATGCGGCAGAAGTTTAATTCCTCTTTGGTGGTCGACATCTTTGTCCGCATCCCCGGCGACGAAGTTGACGATGCGTCCTCCCTCCTGCCCAATATCAACTCGTTCGGCCTTAGTGCTTTACTGACGGTAGACCGCAAAGCAGATGTGGTTGTCGGCTACTCTGTCGTGTGTATGGAGGAGAAGGACATGGAGGAGGGATTGTTTCCAGTGAAGAGCATGGACGAGGCCATCGAGATTCTGCTCGCTCGGAGGCCGAAGAAATTGCTGGAGTTGACGAGGTTGTCGTTCTGTAATCCGGCCAAGGACTTGTCGTATTGCTCTCTATCGAATTTTATTGATGTGAGTCTGGAATATACAGAGTAAAAAATGCTATCTTCATTCGTTTGTTTTTTACATGTGTGTTCTGTTTATGGGATTTTTACAAACTACATTGTTATTGGTGGTTGGATTAATTTATCATTGTACTAATTTGGGTCATCTTATGTTATGCATAGTCTTTTTTCATTTTTGTCTCATTTTGGGATTGGATTTGTGTGATGTGGATAAGATGTTCTGTTGATTAAGTTGAAAGACACTTTCTTGGTAGTTAGATTCTTAATGAATTTGTTCACTCAAGTTTGGAGATATTGCTGCAATGTGAAAAAAGAGAATACCACATTTAAATTTTGTGGTCTGGCGTGCTAAATTTATTATGTTTTCTGCAACAAGATTTTGGATGAGCTTGTTTATATGTCTATCATTGATGAGATAAAATTTTTTGATAAGGTCACAAGTTTTTATGTTCTTTTTCTATAAGCTTTTGCAGATTGTTTTGGTTTTGAATAACAAGTGTTCAATTTATCAGATCTTTGAAAAAAAACTTTCTGTTACTAATATTGTGTTTTGGGCACTAATTCATAGGTCTGGCATTCATAAAAATGCAAGAAAACCAAATTATGTAAATGAAAAGATATTTAACTTTTTTTTTCTTCTTCTTTTTTTTTAAATTTCAGGTGGAAGATTCGATAATCTTTTTTATGATAATCCTAAACAATGGCATCTGTATGCTGACTTCATCAGCAGCGTCAAAAGGTTTGTCGTCTGTATGATAAAATGAAACCACGTGTTTTTGTAATTGGGTAATATTTTACGATGGAATTATAATCCTCTGTTGCAGCATATTTTATCTAGGTACCTTATTCCAATTCATGATTTCTTGTAATTCTGCTTAGGTTTTTTTGCAGATCGCAGCTGCACATGGTTAGCCATCGAACGTTCACCACGTGTATAAATTTGCGCTCCTTGATAATGATGTTTAAGAATTTGGGATGAAACATGGTATCTTATTTTCCATACTTTGCTATGAGATTGGATGCACTGGTTTTATTTTGTTGCATTATTATTTCCATGTGTCTTCATATTTAATGGTGACGAATGCGTTCCAGATAGATTAGATATTTACGTGGATGACTTGAGAGTCAATCAGTTCGTGGACAAAATGGACGTCGGCGATGAGGAAATTGAACCCGACGAGCTCGAGAATCAGATGTAGAAGACAGTGTGAATCTCATAGGAGGGTATCAAGGAATGACAGAAACTTGCTTTACAGCAGCAGAATAAAATCAAGTCCACCTTCGACCACGGGGCAGCCTCTTTTCTATTTAGTTCTTTTTTCCTTATTTTATGTTGTATCTATTTTTTTCTTTTGGGTTATTGTGTTAATGATATAAACATTTAATTAAAAAAACATGATTTTAGTTCAGACATTATATTTTTTGATTGATTTAAATTCATTCGAGGAACCAGGCCAAAATAATTTAGATATGCTGAATAAAATTTTGCAGGAAATTGATACTAATAAGATAAATGGCCTTGATTGAAATCCTGTCAACTTTGTACATTTTTTTTCACTCTTTTCCTTTGTTTATGCATATTTAGTGCTCAAGTTAAGAGTTTTATTGATCGGGTTTTTCTTCTTCTCGCAGGCTTTGATATGGACGAGAAGTTCATTTTTTCCGGTTTTCTTGGTTTTAGGGGTCCCAATTAAGGAGTTCTATCTCATTATGTTGACATTATTTTGTGCTTGTCCATCAGGTTTGTCTTATTAATAACTCTTTTTTTATATGTTAGCGAAGGAGTCAGGTTCTGCAAGACTCAGATAGAAGGTTTAAACTTTTTATTTTCTTGAACATGGAAGCATATTCCTGTAGGCAGCTTTGCTTGGATTTAGCAAGAAGAAGGTCCCGAGGCTAGTGTTTCGAGGTTGATATATTCAAGACACTCTATCTAGACGAACATTTTTTTATGTAGCTGCTTGGATTTAGCAAGAAAAAGCTCCCGATGTTAGTGTTTCGAGGTTGATATATTCAATACATTCTATCAATAGATATGTCAACTTAGAAATGTGATACAATGGGATTTGCTTTATGTTTTTAATAGTTCTTAGGCTTTTTTTTTTTTTTTT